GCTCTGGATAAAAAATCCAACTATGAACTGCTAGAGTAAGTATTCGTATGTGTTTCATAGTGACAGATAATGCTGAACATTATATCTAATGGAGTTTAATTGTCAAAATGGCACAGTTAGATCTCAGAATGCCAGGATATTGACTGACAGATCACTGCTAATAAAGCGGAGCTTCTGCTGAACATCATGTCCTCAGCACACACACACACACACACACACACACACACACAGAGTCACGCGTGTGCATTAGTGCCGGGTCATCTCGTCAGTCGCCCGCAGTCACACAGCAGCGCTCGGGCCCCTCGGGGGGCGGGACAGGGCAGAGGGAGCACACCAATCACAGAGCCACTCTGATTTGAGTGACAGCTGCAAGGAAGGACATCATCACCTGCTTCACAGCTGAACTGCTGTCATTTTACTAGCAGTCATATACTATAATAGATTTTATTCATATTTTGAATAAGGTGTTATTTTTATATTTTCTGTTTTCTTTTAATTGTAGTTAAAGTTTTTGTGATTTTCTTGTTTTGTCTTCATTTTTATTGATTTTATTTTTTGTTACATATTTTTATTTCAGTTTTAGTCCTTTTTTTAACCGATAATAACCCTGCGCTAAACAACATGTGTGACCCTGGAGCACAAAAGCAGTCTTAAGTCGCTGGGGTATATTTGTAGCAATAGCCAAAAATACATTGTATGGGTCAAAATGATTCATTTCTCTTATATGCCAAAAATCATTAGGATATTAAGTAAAGATCATGTTCCATTAAGATATTTTGTACATTTCTTACTATAAATATATCAAAACTTAATTTTTGATTAGTAATATGCATTGCTAAGAACTTCATTTGGACAACTTTAAAGATGATTTTCTCAATATTTAGATTTTTTTGCACCCTCAGATTCCAGATTTTCCAATAGTTGTATCTCGGCCAAATATTGTCCTATCATAACAAACCACACATCAATGGAAAGCTTATTTATTCAGCTTTCAGTTGATGTATAAATCTCAATTTTGAAAAATGTACCCTTATGACTGGTCTTGTGGTCACATTTGACCACGCTGTTTGAACACAAAAGCCGAACACTATAAAGCAAAAAAAATCATACACATTCAGGAGTTTTTGTATTAAGTAAACGAACCATACTGTTTTTCATGAGCATAACACATTGTGTGGAAGGTATTTTCTGAATATCTTAAATTAATCAAATAATAAACATGAAATACCATCAGTACTGAAAAGTGCCCGCCCGCAAAGCACACCAAAATAAAAAAGAATTAAAAAATTTAAATATATAAAAATATAATAATATTAAATTCATTTTAATTGTTTACAATCCATTTACTTTTTCATTTTAATTCTGACAGTTTTGCCCTGTGATTTATTATTTAAAATTAAATTTCAAATCATCAATTCCAAATATTTATTTATTTAGCGGTTCACAATGTGAAAATTAAAATGAAAATCAAATTTTTTTTCCATTTTGGACACATTTCAGTAATAAATGGTTATTGGGTTTTCGATTTTCATCTTTTGATGATTGTATTTGCAATTGGAAAGAAATTACTTATATTTATTTTATTTTTCATCATACAAAGCTATTACATAACTTCAGAAGACCTGCAATATTGTGCATGAGTCATATAAACTACTTATTGTTTTTTTTGTCGATTTTCTCAACAGCCTCCATCCCCGTTCACTTTCACTGCCAGAACATTCTGCCCCAAATCTTTTGTCTTCTTCGAAAGAAACAGAAAAAATGTTTGGAACGACACCAGGGTGAGTAAACACTGAATTTATTAACTATATTAATTCAACAAACCTTAATTGCGTAGTGCACGATGATTATATTAAACAAAAATTGTGTGATGCGTCCCGAAGTCATCACTGGGTCAAAGATCTATCAACACCATTTTGATCTTTGAGTATAACCGCACATGTCAAGCACTTGCTCTACGATATAATTCCCCGTTTGATGAACGAAGATGAAACGGTGCCGTTTATCATAACGTTTCGTTCCCAGCATGCCTCCAAATCTCACACTTTCGCCGTACATTACAGACAGAGCCCATCTGCTGAGGTCAAACCTAGAGTCACAGCGCAGAAATCTGATGAGAGAATAAATTTGTCCCAGTGGGAGAAAACAGAACTGCGTATGTGTGTGTGTGTGAAAGCATATTTGTGTTGTTTAACATTTAGTTATTGCAGGTTTGTGTCATATTCTGTGTTGCATTATTTTTATTCGTTTTGAGGAATACTGAATCTGTGTTGTTGTTTTTTTTGTGAGTAAGATTAATTAATGCATATTCATATTTATTTTAGAACTACAGTAACATCTGATTTCTCTCAACATGGGGACAGGAGAGCTGTCAGTCAATACATTGAAAAAAAAGTAACTTGCGTTACTAACTCAGATATTCTCTTGTAAATTAAAAAGGAATGCATTACTTGTAATGCGCCCCAACACTGCTTGTAAGTGATTCATCCACGCATTATATATATAATGCATGGATGAATCACTTACTGATTACTAATTTCGTAATCTTTTATCAACATGTCATGACTTGCTCTTTGTGTGATAAGTTACTAACTCAGATATTCTCTTGTAAATTAAAAAGGAATGCATTACTTGTAATGCGCCCCAACACTGCTTGTAAGTGATTCATCCACGCATTATATATATAATGCATGGATGAATCACTTACTGATTACTAATTTCGTAATCTTTTATCAACATGTCATGACTTGCTCTTTGTGTGATAAGCTGTGACGTATGCGAGACCAATCACATTCCAGTATTTTACAATCCGTTTAACAATCAACAGATGAAATCATGTCTCAACTCAATGTGTTGGTCTTAATCATAATATGTGGTTGTAAACTTGGTCGTATCTTCCGTTTAATGGCGGCTTTAAGTGTTATTTTAGTATCTTTGAGATACCATTATAGTTTATATTTTTATTTACATTTTAAGTACAAGTATAAAAAATATATATATTTTTAGCTTTTTTATTTTATTTTAAAATGTTCTCTTTGCTTTTTAATTGTAAAGTTTTAGTAATTTTGTTGTCTGCTTTTGTGATTTTTATTAGTTTTTAAATCATTTATAAGCATTTATTCATATTTTTTAGTTTATTTTTCATTTGTTTCTATTTTTATTTTAATGTTAGTTGTTTTTTTTGTAATTTTGTTACAAATGTTTTTGTCATTATAATTCGTTTTTATTGTTTATAAGTATTAATTTTCTGTTTTCTTTTCTCTTTTTTGTAATTTCGTTATTTGCTTTTGTCATTTTTTTTGTTAGTTTCTTTAAGCATTTAATATGTGTTTTTTTAAGTTTGTATATACATTTTTCCTTTTTAATTTCACATTTTTTTGTAGCTTTGTTTTTTGCTTTTGTAATTTTTATTCATTTCTAAAATGATTTATAAGTATTTATTCATATTTATAATTTTTTTTTACATTTTTATATTTTCATTTTAACGTTAATGAAATTATTTGTAATTTTCTTATGTGCTTTCGTTATTTCTTTTTTTATATATTTATATTCTGTTTATTTTATTACTTAAATTCATTTATTTTATTTTAATAATTTTATAATTATTTATAATTAATATAATTTATATATATAAGATTTTTAAATATATAAAAATATGTAATTGTTGTTATTTTAGTAAGTCAACTTAAACTAAAAAATGAGAAATGTTATCTTGGTTTAACTAGCTGCAAAATATTTTTAAAATATATTTTTTTCATTTTTTTTATTTAATTGTATTTTTTTGAATGGTTTTAGTTTGAGTTAACTGCAGTAACCCTGATGGTGACTCTGTTAATGATGTTTGTGAGATGAGGGGAATGGTCATGTGTGTGTGAGTGTGTGTGCAGCTGCTGTAAGAATAGTGTTCCTCGACTGAGACAATCCCACACACCCTGCAGACAGATGCTCAGTAAAATAGTGGGTTGTCCTTTGACCCTGCGGGTCAGCCTCAGACATGTGCGCACGTGGGCGGGACAGAGGTGTTAAATCGCCCCATCCTCCACTGCCTCACACTCTGTCCCATCGGCTGGGAGCTCGTGTGTGTGCGGTTATGTTGCTCGAGAGCTGTTCATTTAGGCCGATTATAATCTGTGTGCTTCCCAGAAAATGTCATTTTCGAGAGCTTCCAGCATCCGTGTGTGAGCAGAGCTCATTTGATCGAGTTAGAAACGGGGTTCAGTTAACAGCGCAGCCATCTGTCACTGACCGCAGAAATCAAATCCAGCCCTGATTGAGTCGAGCTCACATCTCATCATTTTAATAACAATACTGTTTGTTTTCAAAGCACAGGGGGCTTATTAAAGGGATAGTTCTTCCAAAAACATGTCAATCCTGCCATTAGTTACTCACCTTTATGTCATTCAAAACTTGCATGATTCTTAATGCGCATGATGGTGCATAAAAGGAAACATTTTGATGAGCTGCTGTTTTCCATGCAGTGAAAGTGTAAGAAGCCTCTTCTGCTCATCAAGGCTGCATTCATTTACTCAAAAATACAGTAAAAACAGTTAAATTGTGAATTATTATTACAATTTCAAATAAGTGTTTTCTATGTGAATGTCTGTTAAAACATAATTTATTTCTGTGATCAAAGCTGAATTTTCAGCATCATTACTCCAGTCTTCAGTGTCACATGATCCTCCAGAAATCATTCTAATATGCTGATTTGTAATTATGGCACATACATGATGGCAGAAATATTCCATTAAAATCAACGAAGACAAACCAGAATTGATAATAGATGACAGAGATTAATATTCAGACTTATTTGGACAATATTTTAACTGTTATGCAGTAAAGAGTTAGAAGTAGTTGGGTATGCCATAGTTTATATATTTAATAATTGATTATTGTCGTTGTTCTTTAATTATTTGTTTGTTTGTTTTAATTGTTTATATTTATATATTTTTTTCATCATCTTTTATTGATGTTTTTTGTTCATATTTATTTTAAATAATTTTAGATTTTACTGTAAATACGTTTTATAACATATTATTAAGTAGATTTTTCATCAGTGTTCTGAAGGATTGTGGCTTGCTGACTCATTTCTGTTACATATAATAAGAGAACATTTGACCCAATTGTTATCAGCAGCTCTGTTCTGAAAAGCAAAGATTTGAAGTGGTATGTCATAACAAAAGGGAAGAAGAGGCACATTTCTGAGTCTCTAGATGAACATGTTTGATACGATCTGTGTGTATCTGTGTGTGGAATGCTGTTAGGATACCCAGAATGCCTTTCCGAGCTCGTCACATCCATCAGCAGTGTGCAGGTTTGTGTATTTGGAGGAGAGCGAGAGAAAGCTGATGGAGATTGATCGCTCTAGCGTGTCTTATTTGATTGACAGCTGAATTGGATGCTTGTAATGAACCTGTCCACACTAATTACCGGGCAGATTCTGGATTATTAAGCCATGTGATCATACTTCGTCATGAAGTTTTGTATTTGCTAAGAAAAGCATCACTATTATTTGTGCTTATACTAATTTTTGCACTTGCACAAACTGCTAAAGCTCGAACTCTGATGCATAACTGATTTATCAGAACATGTTATAATCTAGTTTATTCATCATTTATGAATCTCTAATACTATAATGCATGACGATATTATTAATATTATATATAAATGTTAACATCATTGATTTTCTGTGATCTTTTCATTGAGTTTTAATTATAGTTTTTTTCTATATTTTTCAATACGTCTATATAGTTTTTATTAATTTTTAGTTATTTTAGTACAAGTGAGAAATATTTCTTTGGCAACTAGCTGACATAAAGTAAGTTTAAGTTCCTGTAGATTTTATTTTGTTTCAGTTAATGTATTTTATTTCAAGTAATGAAAATATTCTTAATGGTTTTAGTTTTATTTAACTATAATAACCCTCATATGTCTTTTTTTTTTTTTTTTTTTTTTTTTTTTAATTTTTTTTAAATTAATTTTCTTTTTCTTTTTTTTTTTTTTTTTTTTTTGTTTTTTTTTTTATATGTCTACATTTTTTTAAATTAATTTCTATTTCCGTTTTTGCTATTTTACTACGTTGCTAAACTAAATAAAAGTCAGAAATCCTTCCTTAGCAACCGGCTGACAAAATAAATTAACATTTTTGTATATTTTATTTTATCTCAGTTAATATTTGTTTTATTTCAAGTAATGCACATTTTTTAAAGGTTTTAATTTTAATTAGCTATAATAACCCAGATGTGTATTGTGAAAAATGCAGTACAAAAAAAGACTTCACTTGAATTAAAATACTGGTTTTTAAATACATTTCTATGCTGATCTTTATAGCACCCAGTTGCACAATATGATGTTATTAGAATGTTTTTATCTAGTATTGCTGATATGGGATTTAAGCGGAGCTCTGCTGGTGTTTGTAATCAGTGTGTGAAGTGTAACGCTGCTCTTTCTCTCTGTGTTTCAGGCCAAAACGCTGAGGAAACAGATCCAACAGACGTTTAAGCAGTTCGCCAACCTGAACGACGACCAGAGCATACTGAAGTTCTTTGAGATCCTGGCGCCCGTCCACAGATTCGACAAAGAGTGCTTTCGATGTGCTCTGGGGGTACGTCAGGTCACTGGACTTCACTGCCCCCTGCTGCTCTATGAAGGAATTACATTAGCTGACATTCAGAGTTCAGAAGTATTCCCTAAGCAAAATATTTCTTACCAATCATTAAACTGTATTTTACATTATACTACATACTGTATGCTATGGAAGCCCGTTTCCGCCACTGAATAAAAAATAAAAAAGTTAATTGCGACACAATTCTGACTTTTTTTCTCATAATTGCGAGTTTATTTCTCACAATTCTGACTTTATAACACTAAATTCTGTGAAAAAAAGTCAGAATTGTGAATTCATATCACGCAATTCTGTGGGAAAAAAGTCAGAATTGTGAATTCATATCACGCAATTCTGTGGGAAAAAAGTCAGAATTGTGAATTCATATCATGCAATTCTGTGGGAAAAAAGTCAGAATTGTGAATTCATATCACGCAATTCTGTGGGGAAAAAAGTCAGAATTGTGAATTCATATCACGCAATTCTGTGGGAAAAAAAGTCCGAATTGTGAATTCATATCACGCAATTCTGTGGAGAAATAAAAGTCAGAATTGTTCATTCATATCACGCAATTCTGTGGAAAAAAAAGTCAGAATTGTGAATTCATATCACGCAATTCTGTGGGAAAAAAAGTTGTGAGATGATTAAGTCGCAATAACCTTTTTTTATTTTTTATTCGGTGGCGGAAACGGGCTTCCATAGTATGCTGCTGTTCACAAGTTTGGGGTCAGTGAGATTTCTTTTTGAAAGAAATGAATACTTTTATTCATCAAGGACGCATTCAATTGATCAAAAGTGACAGTAAAGACATTAATAATGTCAAAGAGGATTTCTATTTTAAACAAAAGCTGTTCTTTTGAACTTTCTATTCATCAAAGAATCATTCAAAATAAAATTTATGACAAAAACATTCAGCAGCACAACTGTTTTCAACATTGATAATAATCAGAAATGTTTCTCGAGCAGCAAATCAGCATATTACAATGATTTCTGAAGGACTGGAGTTATGATGCTGAAAATTCAGCTTTGATCACAGAAATAAATTATGTTTTACAATATATTCACATAGAAAACAGTTATTTAAAATTATAATAATATTTCACTATTTTACTGTATTTTTGATCAAATAAATGCAGCCTTGATGAGCAGAAGAGACTTATTATTATATTACTGACCCCAGACTTTAATGCATACTATAATATATAATACATTATATATTACATCATGGTTTATTTGGCATATTTTCATTTTGATGGTATAATGAAAGCAGTGTTTCTCGATAAAATTAGGAGCCTTTATAAAATGACTCAACAGCTAGATATTTTCTGTGTTCATTTTTTAGCCCCTGCTAACCTTGCTTTATTTTCTTCGGAATAAATCTGAATTCCGTGTGCAGTCAGATCCTGTGATTGACGCTCCTCTCTCTCTGTCTCCGTCTCCGTCTCAGTCGAGTTGGGTCATATCAGTGGATCTCGCTATCGGTCCCGAGGAGGGAATCAGTTACCTGACAGACAAGGGCTCCACGGTAACGCATACTGACATCACCATAGCAACAAGCATCTATTTGACTTTAACCCTAGTTGTTTTGTTCAGTGGCTTGGTTCTGTTTATGAGTAGCTCCGCCCACAGTGAAATCTCATTGGTCCAAAATCCTAAGTAAAAATAAACAGCAGATGTTCTGATTGGCTGATTTTTGAAGTTGATTAGGAGGAATTTCTTAATTTAAAAGCGTATCTGTCCCATTAGTCTCTCTGTCATGTGATGCACGAGTAATGCGTGTCTGTTTTTTTCAGCCGACACATCTGGCCAACTTCACGCAGGTGCAGAGCATCCATTACTCCTGCGTGGAGGAGAAGGAGAGGAAGGGCGTCTTACAGCTGGACGTGGCAGGAGCCGCTGAGGTAAACGACGCTGCAGTTTAAACTTGCTTCTCCAACAAAACCTGGTTTTGACGTGGAGTTTCAGCTCAGAAGTAAATGAAATGCAGCTGATGTTGTGATTGTAGGATGTAGTGTTTAGTTTGAGATGTGTGTCAGCCCTGCGCTGACGGCGCTCTAATTTCAGTCCGTCACTGTTATTTTGGGTCTTGGCGTCTTTGTCTGTACTTTGTCAGTCTGTCTTTTCTCTCTTTCTGATTGTCTGTCTTTTAGGCACCGTTTTTACCCAGGTTTAGACGCTGTGCTGGATTCGTTAGACTGATTTAAACCAGTGGTGTTATTGTTAACCAAAACTATTACAACTGAAAAACTAAACGTTTTTGGTAATTGAAATATAGCTGAATAAAACAAAATATAAATATTAGATTAAACTATTTTTATAGCTATAATTGTTGTCTTGGTAACAAACTGAAAAAATAAAATAAAGATAAACAGAAACATAAAAATAAAAAAAATACTAGCATTTAGCTAAAATTAAAATTAAAACTGAAAAATCTAAAAATAAGAAAATAAAAATATAAAACATTTTTAAAAAACTTTAAATGATGTCTTGCTAACTTGGAAAGAAAATGTTTAATTTAAGTCCTAAAATTACTAAAACTAAAACAGAAATGAAAATAAATGAAAGCTAAACAGAAACAGAAAAAAAATTATAAAAATGATAAATCAAATAAAAAAAATACTAGCATTTAACTCAAATTAAAATGAAAACTGAAAAATCTAAAAAATAAAAATATAAAACATTAAAAAAAATGTAAATGATGTCTTGCTAACTTTGAAAAAAAGTTTAAGTTAAGTACTAAAATTACTAAAACTAAAATAGAAATGAAAATAAATTAAAGCTAAACATAAGTATTTAAAAAAACAAAAGCTAATAAAAATGATTAAGTACACAACAAAATTACTTAAACCTAAACTAAAATTACAATGAAAACTGAAAAGAAAAGAAAAAATGTATATATATATATATATATATAAACTTAATAAATTTGAAATCTTGCCATGGCAACTAACTGAAATACAATTGAAGTATTTTAGTATTAAAATTACTAAAACTAAGACTGAAATAAAAAATAAAGCTAAATAGAAATAGTGTTCATTTTTATATTAAATTTTGTATTATTATTAATAATACAATTAATAATTATTATTATTATTATAACTAAAATTACAAAGAAAACTGAAAAAATTATAGAACTAGAAAGCTAGTTCTAAACATTGATGAATATTAAAATAGCATATCAATAATACTAAAACAGATTTAAATGTTAACTTGTGAGATCGTAAGTGTTTTTGAGCGATTCATTAAAGATCCAGCTCATAAGAGTCACTTGTTTTGGAATCAGACTAGACTATAATGGAGTGTTGTGCGTTTGTTATTATTTCTATCTCATCACATTCAATCTAGACCGCATTGGAAGCACTGCTGTGGGCGTGTCTGATGGTATTTGTGGGCGTGTCTTCAGCAGTGTGTGTGTTGTATCCTGACGTCATGATGAGGCTGCTGTTGCTGATAATGGCTCATTGTGAGTCTGGTTTCTTTCTCGTAGCCTCTCACGATCAGCACGCCGTCCTTCGCCGCCGCTGAGAACATGGCCGACCTCATCGACGGATACTGTCGCCTGCTCAACGCCGTCAGCCAGTCCTTCATCGTCAGACCGCAGAAAGGTACGTCTGCCTCACACTGCTGCATTGTGGGATGTTTGTACTCTAGAGGCAGTAAAGCACGGAATTAGCATGAATGAGACGCATCGAGTGGAAAATCCCAGTATGAAGCAGCACAGCTGTTTGTCTCAGCAAGACACAAATAGAAAGACATATCGAAAACAAGTCCACTCGTAGTAAAGTATGAAATGCAGTTCTTGGTGTTCTGCTGTTTGATTCATGAGCTGATGCTGTGTGTTTCTCTGTCCTGCAGAGGGGGAAAGAGCTCTTCCATCCATTCCAAAGTAAGTCATAAATTCACTTCACTGGCATTCATGAGCTGTTTAATAAACTGACGTCAGGCACGAGATTCATTTGGAGGAGGTTTGACCAGCAGTTAATACTTAAACACCACCAAAACTGGTCAAAACTAAAGGCTGGGACTAGAGCTGGATGATATATCAAACATTCACTGTATATATGTGATCATTTTGTTGATGATGGCTTTATTTTATTTTATTTATTTTTTTGCCCTTGAAGTTCCCCTAAAATGTTAGCATCATTAGACTAATTTAACATCAATAGTCTAAAGGAAAAAAGATATATTAATATATGAAACATTTATAAATATTAATCTAAATATATATCATATTTTAGTCATATCATATGATGATCATATTTGTTTATTTTATTTGTTATTTTAATTAAATTTTTTTTTAATTTAATTTAGTTTTTTATTTTATTTAATTAAATTTTATTTTATTTTATTTTGTTTTGTTTTGTTTTGTTTTGTGCCCATGAAGTTTCCTAAAGAGCATCATTAGACTAATTTAACACCAAAAGTCTGGAGTCTTTTAATATAAAACTTTTATATATATATATAACATAACATTTATTTTATAACATTTCAATATTTTAAAACAATTTTTATTTTATTTTTTTATTTGGTGCCCATGAAGTTTCCTAAAGAGCACCATTAGACTAATTTAACATCAAAGTGTGGCGAGCAAAAAGTATATTATTATATAACATATTAATAAATAATAATATGGATAAAACATTTTGTATTTTTTTTATTTAAAAAACACAACTTTTTTTTCTTTTTTAAAATAATGTTTAGAATGAGAAATTCTGATGTTTTAAATTAGTAATAAGAAACATTTTTACATTTGAGAATATAATATATAACATTGCATAATATTTATATAATTATATTTATTATTATTTCAACATTTTATGATTTTTTTTTCTAGGCTTATATTATAAAATATTGTGTTGCCAACTTCTAATTGAGGGCTAACTTGAAGAGTTTTGATTCCACATGCTGCATATAGTACATCAAAATCATTTTAATATCATTTTGATAATTATGTTAGCATGCATATTTGCACCTGGCGTGTGGTAAACACACACATCCAGAAGTTCTCATGTTCATGTGAGCTATTGGATAAATATGTCTTGTGTGCATGAAAACAACTGTAAAGCACCATTCCTCCACAGACTGGCCAACAGTGAGAAGCGGCTGGAGGGGATCCGGGCAGGAGTTCGTGCCATCTCTGTTTCAGGTCAGACTCCTCTGACATCGTCTCTGATTTAGCAGCTTTATTGATTATCTATCAGATCTGAAAAGCAGTTCATATCAAAATTTGATGATGCTTAATTCCCAAAAGGACATTTGTGTTCAGTGTAAGTCTGGGGGATTTCACCAGTTTTGTTGTCTTATCAGATGAAAATGATCACTTAATTTACAGCATAAACAGGCTGCATAAATACTATTGCATTTGAAGTTTAATACTTAGTGTTAGAGCTTTCTTCAATTCACTAACCCTGAGTATGACCAATAGTAATAGTGATGCTTTACAGGCCAAAGACTGCTAGTATTATCAGAGCGTGACACTTCACACTCCAGTCATATTCCTTATGGATAAAAAAAAAGAATCTGAATGTTTGTTTTACTTTGAAATATTACAATCAAATGCAGTTTCACATCATGTTTGTTTTTAGCAGTTCTCTGTTATTTGATGTCTTCAAGATGTTGGGCTGGTTTCTGCAACATCTGCACACATTTAAAGCTCATCATCAGTTGTATTTCAGACGTTTCATGCTCATGAACGTGTCTGCTGTTTATAAGCTGTTTACGCAAAATCTAAATCTAAAACCACTTTCTGAAGACACAGTGCAAATTTAAATGAAGTCATTCTCATTCTTCTCAATGCAAACATGCTTTATTTTTGATGTTATTGCACTAATTTCTGGGTGTGTTTGTACTGTTACATGATTTGCATAAATCATTTAGTGAATCAAGTGCTAAAATAATGCAAAAGGCACGTGCCGTCAGTGGTTGCGTTTTATTTTTGGTGTGAAATGAGCTGATAGTGAAAGTCTGAGCGTCACAGCGTGTGGTTTGTCAGGCTGAAATGTTTTGTCACGGATCTGGATGATAAATACAGTATGTTGATTGTGTCTCCACTCCTCCTGCCATATTCTCTTGCTTTGCTTCACTCTCTTTCTCTCTCCATCTGTCGTTCTTCACTGAAGTCTCTGTGGTTCAGACGCCCACCAAAGCTGCTAAAGCTCGGCGCTTTCTCCTTCCGTTTGTCCTCTGTTCCCATGATTCTCCTCCTAAGGGTACATGCTGTTCCTGTGTGTGTGTGTGTGTGTGTGTGTGTGTGTGTGTGTGTGTGTGTGTGTGTGTGTTTATCTCTAACCCTCACCTGCTCTCCACCCTAAACAACACATGTTCTGTAGTATCAGCTGTTTCCCATAGATTCACAGGTGTATCATACGTGCTGTGATTCATTCTCAGATCTGTTTTCATCTAGCTAGAAGTGTAGATGTGAGATTTTTTGTAGCTATATGTATTTAATTATGTGTATAATATTGCATAATATATATAAAAAATATTTTATTTATAGAATGTTTTATAATATTTGTAATAAATGTTATTAATTAATATTAATATTTATATTTATTTTAAATAATATTGTTTAGCTTATTTTGCTTTTGGAAATTATTATTCATAACAGTTAGACACATCTGCAATGTGGAAAAATAATACAATTTATTTACTTGCTTAATTTGCTTTTTGAAATCATCTATAGCAATATAAACAACTCATTACTGCAATGTGTGTGTGTATATATATATATGCATCAACAACAATTATTTTAGGATTTTCTTTGCTTATTTTGCTTTTTAAAATTTAAAATTTTTGATTCATGACAATTAAATGCATTGATTCCATTAGTGGTAATAAATTGACTGTGTATATATTAGTGCTGTTAAACGATTAATCGCGATTAATTGCATCCAAAATAAAAATAGTTTTGTTTACATAATATATGTATGTGTACTGTGTATATTTACTATGTATATATAAATACACACACGTGCATGTATATATTTAAGAAAAGTATGCTATATTTGTATATTAAATATATTTACATATAAATTATATAAATCTATACCTGTTAAATACATGTAAATATTTTCAAAATATATACTGTATGTGTGTGTATTTATATATGCATAATAAATATACACAGTACACACATATATTACATAAACAAAAACTTTTATTTTGGATGCGATTATTCGTTTGACAGCACTAATATATATATATATATATATATATATATATATATAAGTATTATTTATATATATGATTATAGAATTTTATGTTTTAAAAATAATATAATAATTTTTTTATTTTATTTTTGATTTATATTTTTATATATTATAATGAGGAGAAATCAATTTTAAATTAAAGTGCAGCAAGTAGCCTTCATTTTCTTTGTGCAAAATATGTTTTGTATTTGTGCTTTTCTATTGATTTAGCGATGAATTGCTGTTGACCGCTTTTGTGAGACTTACCCAGTTTTTATTTTTGCTAATTGCATTAAACATAAAAACCTGCCTCCAAATAAGATCAGAGATTTTTCCGTGCGAACTGCACTGAATTAGACCCGTGGCAGAACAATCCAGGCAGATGTGTGTCCACGTCCCAATTGAATCTCATCCCACACATTCCTGCAGCACATCTAACCCAATATAACCCACACTAATGACTCCCAGGACTGCAGGAGCTGCTCACAGCCAGAGAGGACGAATAAACCGGTGAACCGCTTCAGATGCATGACCAACGTGTGTTTTCATGTCTGCTGGTGAATTAACCTTTCTCCTCTCTGTTCTTTGCATGGACCTGCAGAAGATCTAAGCGGAGATGGTAATGTTTGACTTGCAATCTTCATTTCTTTCCTCTAACTAACTCCCTGCTCTGTGTGCGTTTGGAAATTTACTGCAATCTAGTCAGCCTCGCATAGGTTCTAGTTTAGTTGTAGTGTGTAAATGTGAGTCTGCTTCACTTTAAGTGCACTTGAAGTCTCTTCTACTCCCTGCATTCCTCACAAGTGCAATTATTTAGAGAAGCGAGTGACCTCTACCAAAAAAAAACAAAAAAACCCCCGGACTAAATCTGTTTTGCATGAAGACACGGAGTCACTTCCTTCCCCTCGTCTTTCTCGAGCTCGACCACTGAGCCGCTCTCTGATTGGCCGGTCGGATGGAGTTCAGAGAGTTTAAAAGAGAGAAGTGCACTTGAGTTTGAGTGTGCGAGAGTCTTCATGGAGGAGTTTCTTGGCTGGTTGACCGGCTCTAGTTTGTGTAGTGGAAGGTTACGTGTGTTTGGGGTTGGTGTAGTGACCGAGTGGGCGTTAGTGTGAGATACTGACCGCTGCTGCTTCTGTCTCCCTGCAGAAACAGATGACTACGCAGAGATCATAGATGAGGAGGACACCTACACCATGCCCTCTAGTAAGTACCCTCACTCGTGCCGCCTTTTAAGTGTGTATTCAGGTGGGTTTAATTGGGGTTGGAGCTAAACTCTTCTGGACACCGGCCCTCCAGGACCGAGTTTGGACAGCCCTGGTGTAAACAATGAGTGACGTATATGCGCGAGAGATCACTTCCAGCGCTTGCGTAAACTACACCAGAGCGCGTACACACCTCACGCACCGGAAGCCATGTGCACACCCAAAGTAGTTGGACATAGTGGTGTATTAGAGGTAAAAAATGATATAAACACTGTTGGGTTTCTCGCACAAACCGATCGTTTCGTGTCTTAGGACATCAATGTGTCGTCACGAGCCGCAGGGTTTAATTTGGATTTGTCTGTGCATGTTTTTTTTACTCTCATAGATTTTGTTACCATTGCCATGCATTATACGACTGACAGACTGCAACGGTTAAAGTTAAAAATCATCAAATGTGTTCTACTGAAGAAACAAAGTCACCTACATCTTGGATGCCCTGGGGGTAAGCAGATAAACATCACATTTTCATTTTTGGGTGAACTATACCTTTAATCAGGAAAAAAACATTTTTAAAACTGACATTTTGAACCTTCTGAGAAGATTCAGAAATAACTTAATGGGAACATTAGCAAAATGTTCTTAGAACATATTTTTGTCAGCTGAGTGCCAAGCTCCTAAAGAACAAAAAAAGTAGTTTGTATGACTCACACACTGCAATAAATGTCTTCTAAATGCAAAAATGTTAAACATTTTTGTGATCACAACGCTAACGTTTGGCTTCTCATGAGTCATGAGAACTATTTTTATTGCTTTTGCTCCCTCACTGCTATTCTTAAATAGATACATTTAATTGAGATGCAAAACAACATGAAATAAGTTATGTAATATTACGTTATATATGCCAGTGGGGTAAGAAAAATAAGCTTGTTTTCCCTTTGAATTACATTTATTTTTCTTACACCATTCATCAGTCGCTTGTTTGTAAATGAGCAGCATGAACATTTGATGTGTTTTATGCTTCGAAATGGCAGGTGAGTAAATGCTCACAGGATTTTTGTAATTTTATTAATGGCAGATTCACTGAAATAGATTTTATAATTTATTGCTCATTTTCCAGGGAATTTTTATGTTGTCCTCTACTTAAATTGTATAATATGCTATGTTTTATAACAGCTCTGTGGTGAGTGTTTGACATGTCTGTGATTGATAAGTGTGTGCAGCTCTCCACATCTCATCCCTCTGTTTCTCTCTCTCTCATCCTGAGCTTTAATTCTGATCTAAAAGCCCAATCTCTGCCTTTTCTCTTTAACAACCAGCCGAATGCTATGGATTAGACGCAGGTAACGCCATCTCTCTGTTTGTGTGCTTCTTTCAGTTCTTCTCTCTTTCTTTTCTGTCTGTCTCTCTCTCTCTCTCTCTCTCTTTCTCCTTCTCCGTTTTGCTGTGTGCTTGTGTTAGAAGCAGGTTCCTCATATCACAGACTAACGCAGGTTTTCATAAAAATATTTTTGTGTTTCATGGGAATCAAACCCATGATTTACCATTGTTAGTGCTACGATCTAAACTATAGAAGCTGGGATATAAAAAAGGTATTTTAACATCCAAAACATGCCACACAGCATCTTTAAGGCTTTATATTATCATTAAGCATCTTTATATTATTGTTTTTTATAATATAATTTATACTTATGTCATTATTAATAATATCCCATTTATATGTTTTTGACATTAAATACTTTGTATAACAAAAAAACCTGCAGAAGTCATTGATATGTAGCCAAACAATAGATTATTATTGTTTTTTGTTTGTTTGTTTTGTTTGCTCAATTATAATTTAAAATATTTTTGTTTGTTTGTTTGCATTTATAAACAAATAGTTATTTGTTTTTTCTTTTAATAAATGGTGCGTTTTTATTTGATTTGATTTATGTTGTTTGTTGTTGTTGTTGGTTTTATAAGTTTGGATTCACTGATTTTTTTTTTCTTTTTTTACTGTAATATTCAGCAATATTTTTTTACTATGATATTTTTGTTTACTTTGATATTCAAAAATCACAGTAAAGAAATGTTAAAAAATATTTATTTTTCAAATCAATTGTGCATTTACAGTGGGTACGGAAAGTATTCAGACCCCCTTAAATTTTTTTGCTATATCATGATTTCTACAGAACATTGAGGACTTTATTGAAAACATTGTACAGTGCATTAGTTAGAGTGGACTTCATATTTATTAAGACAAATGTAAATGAGTCTGGCATATATGTCCAGTTTGTTCAATGTGTCGTCTCAATGTTTTAGGTTTCCTTTATATTCATAGTCAATTTTTTGTCATCTAGAGACAGTCCTTCTGTCTCTCACAGCCTCGTCTTCATCTGTTCACAATTAATTATGGCGTCCACCCTGACTAAGGTCTTTTGTTCATGACCTCAGTGTTTCTAAACTTGCAATTGGCGACTTTCAAACACTTTGTTAAATGGCTGAGCTCTGCATTCAGTAAATATTGTGCTAAAGGTTTGTTGATCTCGGTCACAGCTGCTCGTCTTCTGAACTTACATGACGATCAGAGTGTGTGGTTTGCTGGTTCCTCTGATGCTGAGCTTCAGGTTTGTGACGTTTGTTCTTCATCTGTAGCTCAGGACTATGAGATCCAGCGGGACAGAATCGAGTTGGGACGGTGTATCGGCGAGGGCCAGTTTGGTGACGTCCACCAAGGGGTTTACATCAGTCCGGTAAACACACAGTCCACAGAAATATTAATCAAACGAACACTGCATTTGCCCTGAATAGAGTGCAAACTGGTGGCCCTTTTAATTCTCTTCCTAAATCAGTTCATGTCAGAATCCCTTGTTTTTAGAGTGAGAACTACTAAAATGATACAAAATTATTATTTAGCATAAACTGGACATAACATGAGCAGTAGAGTAGATTTGACTGCATTCATTAAGCTCAACCTTAAAACCCTATTATTAATGATCAAGCACATTTTTTTGTTAAGAAGTGTTTTAAATATATAATTTTATAAAACCGAAAAGTTTATATAATATGTGATTATTGGATCGTACAATCTAATATTTGGTCCCAAACTAGCTCTCTATTGATCAAGCAAATATTTTTGTTAAATTTATGGAATACATTTTATATGGAATATGCATTTTTATATAATAAAAATGTATATATTTGGATCAAATTATTTATATAATATCTAGGTTTATTAGTATATACAATCCAACATTTGACCCAAATCATCTTTCAACTGAGTGAGGTCTTGAGCAATTTTTTGTTATTATTATAATTATTGTTATTATTCAAATAAGTACATTTTAAATTTTAAATAATGTTAACAATTAAATGTTTTTTTTATCAGATGTATGTATATTTTCATGTTTATTTTATTCTATTAACGTCACCGATAAGCAGGGTTTAAACGGTATTTATGATATACAAAATATTATAATATAATACATTTTCTATTAATAATTATATATTTTTTCCAAGATGTTCCAAATGAATTTTTTAACCTATTCCCTACTGCTCTTTACTGTGTTCTGAAGCTATTAAGACGAGCTAAAATGTCAGACTTTGTGGGCGTACGGTTTTACTACAGTGTACTTTTAATTTGTAATCTTCCTGAATTCATGCTCATAGTTTTTGAGTTGCATGTGCTTTCCCTGACAGGAGAATCCATCGTTAACAGTGGCCATTAAGACGTGTAAGAACTGCACCTCAGACAGCGTGCGTGAGAAGTTCCTGCAGGAAGCTCGTGAGTATCAAGAATTCACACTAGTGACCTTTACTTCAGAATTAATTTCAGCTGATGCACTTCTACTTTGAGACGTTTCTTTTTTTAACCATAGCTGTTCCATCTGAACACATGATGCATCGCAGTCTAATTTCATTTGAAATTAAAATGTATTTTTAGTTTATTTGAAGTTGAATATGAGGAAGTCACAACTACCGCATTTGCACGCTTTGAGAGAAGTCAGAATGCCACTAAACCAGACTGATTTTGCGAAAGTGTTTTGCATGTGATGCAGTGAGAATATCTGTGATTTTATGATTGACAGTGACAATGCGGCAGTTCGACCATCCGCACATTGTGAAGTTGATTGGAATCATCACTGAAAATCCCGTCTGGATCATCATGGAGCTGTGCACGCTTGGAGAGGTCAGACTGTGTTTTCATTCGTTAAACTGGCACAGATTTTAGACTCTATGAAATCATCCAGAATCATCTTCATTTTAGTTGAGGTCGTTCTTGCAAATAAGGAAGTACAACCTGGACCTGTCCACGCTGATTCTGTTCGCCTACCAGCTGAGCACAGCGCTGGCGTACCTGGAGAGCAAACGCTTCGTGCACAGGTGACTGAAGATCTTCACACGCTCAGAACAGACTTTCCTCAGTCTCCTGCTCATAGTGCACTGAGGTCAATGTGTGTTTTGTTGCAGGGACATTGCTGCCAGGAACGTGTTGGTGTCTTCCACAGACTGTGTGAAGCTTGGTGACTTCGGTCTCTCCAGATACATGGAGGACAGCTCCTATTATAAAGGTGTGTCAAACTGCACTTTTACTTGCCGTTTACAAGCATTTAAAGGGGTCCTATTATGCTCTTTTACAAAGTCTTGATTTTGTTTTGGGGGTGTACTAGAACAGGTTCTCATACTAGGTTGTTCGAAAAACACATTATTTTTCACATATTTGACATTATTACAGTGTGTTCACACCAGACGCGAATGTAATTATTCGCGCGAGTAGATTACATAATTCGTGCCGGGCGATGCGAATGACTCGAATGCACGATATTTGCCTTAATCGCATGTTCCACGCAAGTTCAAAAATTTCAACTCGAGCGGAAAATTCGCGTTACGCGTTCTTGCGCAAGCCAATCAGCGAAGAGCTTCTTGACACGTCCAGTTGAAGTACACAATTAAATAGAAAACAATTCAAATCAGTTGTAGTGGTAGTTGTATTTTATTAGCATGGCTACAGAGATGCTGCTATCAATAATAAAAATAATAGTAATATCAGTGTATATATAGTCAAGTCAAGTCACCTTTATTTATATAGCGCTTTTAACAATACAGATTGTGACAAAGCAACTGAACAGCATTAATTAGGAAAATAGTGTCAATAATGCAAAATGACAATAGTAAACACTCATTTTTCAGTTAAAGACAGTTCATCATTGAATTCAGTGATGTCAACATCCAGCTCAGTTCAGTTTAAATAATATCTTTGCAATCATGTCAACGATAACGCTGGAAATGAAGTGTCCCCAACTAAGCAAGCCAGAGGCGACAGCGGCAAGGAACCAAAACTCCATCAGTGACAGAATGGAGAAAAAACCTTGGGAGAAACCAGGCTCAGTCAGGGGGCCAGTTCTCCTCTGACCAGACGAACCAGCAGAAAAAAAGTGCTTTTTAAAGTGCTTTTGCTTTCGCCTAGAAACACACAGCGTCTCCCTGACATGGCTGCATCAACACTAACTGCGGTTACTGAAACCACGCCTTCTTTCTTTGTGTGCACATTTGGGCGCATTATGCAAATATTTCCACATAGTTAGGTGGATATGTGGGGGCGTGTTAGAATGAGCCATTTTAGGGGGGCGTGGCTGACTCTTATCTTTTATAAAGAATATCTCTTTGGATTTGAGACTTTAGTCTTTGCAACTTTACAGATCTTCTTTATGCACCAAGAGCTTGTAACACTCCAAAGAGAAAG